ATCAACTTTAGAGCACGTAATAGAATTATTCAGTAATACAAGGTTTTTAATGCGTGAATAGTCTGATTAATTTTCAATTAAGAGCTTTTTACTAAGAATACAATCTAACCAATATATGCGTACATGTACAGCATCACTTCCACGAAGAGAATGATGAACGTGTTGATGCATTAATGCATTAACGAAAAAGGTTTCCAAAATGAAGAAAGTTGAACTTTTTACATCGATTAAAAACCTCTTGGGACTCCATAGAGTTTCTTCAGTTTTTTGAAATTGTTATCAGAGACAAACGACTGTAATAGAAAACACATTCGAGATTTTCTTTTTCTAAGTGGTACTGTGTACATATATACTGCGGTGCATTCTAGTAAGTCTTTAATAGTAGTCAATTATGGTGATAATTGTAATAATTATTAGCACTTTGTTCTTCACACTAAACAACAATTTTAAAATTTTCAATCTCTAGTGTATCTTTTACGTTTCGTAGTTCATTGCAATATCACTTTTTGCTTCTCCTTTTCTGTTTTAAAATTCATACGGTTTCCTATCTACAGGTCTGTTATAATCAGTATTGTACTTATAAGCTAGTATTATTAGTGTTAGTTGTGATCCATATTTCGTATCTTATTACCTGACGTTCATGAACGAAAATTTATAAATTTAGATAGTTCTTTTTAGAATTACTGTTTCAAATTGCAAGCTAGTGTTCTCGACTGTGACATTTTCTTAAGTTATGACCACTCTCACTACTAGTGATAGTAGTAGAAAACGTTATTGCCTTTTTACTCGTGTTGGAGAAGAATGTAGCGATGAATATTTTAATTTCTGAGAAATCCAATGTAAAGATTTTGAGAAAATATGGTTTCTAAAAGCTAGATTTGCATTGTCTGTGCTTTTTTTAAAAGCAGACATGTTTTGCAGTAGAGTACGTCTGAAGTATCAAATAAGTAGCTAAAAGTACTTTAGAGTATTTCAATGTCCAAAAGTCTCTGTGACATACTAATGGCAGAGTTTTTTTTCGGGTACCTTTTAATCAATACATTCGCTAGTGTGCACTAGTTACTTTAATTGTGAACAAACACTATCTGTTTTTTTTTCTATGAAATGACTATGATAATTATTAATTAAAACTTTTCAAATTCGTATGACAGACTGTTTTCTTTAATATGAAACGTTCATTTTTTCTTGTGGAAATAGTTATTTTTGAAATATCTTATGTTTTTGTTTTATTCATAACAATAATCATAATTCAAGTACATTATCTGATTTTGATAAATTGGATATCTTTTTATTTTTTTTTGAAGTTCAACGACAAAGTTATTAGAAATTTCACTATATATTAAATTTTCAGAGTATAAAAAACGTCCTTTTTACTTATATTTTGAAATAGAATTTGCCAATTTTGTTTGTTAAATGCATACAAACAAATAAAATAAGTTTGATTTTTTTTGTATTTAAAATTGAATTGAATCTAAAACATTCTATTCTGTTCTCAATGACAAGCGTCTCGTGATAGAAAAAGACGAATTGATATGATTTATTCTTTCTGTGTTTATTTTCTTTGCACATGACTGATTTTATTTAACGAGCATATTTAGTAATATTTCATATTACATGACGGACTAGGTTTTTTCTTTCTTTTCATTTCTCTTTGCCTTTCTTAGGTTATTGTTTGAGTAATTCTATAGAAAATGGTCAAAATGAAAATATTTCATCAATCAAAGAATAATGAAAACGAATCTATTGAAATGAATTCAATAAATGATCAATCTTCGTCATCAGAACAAAAAAGCATTCAACAAAGAGTCTTTCGGTTAGTTTCAGTTTAAATTCGAAAAAAAAAATTATTTTTTTGCATTTAATTTAGTAAAAAATATACTTCTGATAAATGGAGAAATAGCATGACAAATCCACTAAAAAGTCGACGAAAAATTCTTAGGTTTAATTTTTAAAAACTTTTCTCAAATTTGATATATATATATTGTTCTTTTCATAGTAAAGCTTTAATCACTTCAGGTGATAATTTGATTCAAGTTAATAAACATATTTCTAATTCAACATCAAGAAAAAAAAAGCATAATAAACAACATGATAGAATAATAATAAATGTTAGTGGTAAACATTATCAAACATATTCATCTACACTTGAAAATTATCCAAATACATTATTGGGTAACAAACAAAAACGAATGTATTATTGGGATGAACAAGAAGGAGAATATTTTTTTGATCGTCATCGAGCTTGTTTTGAAGCAATACTTTATTATTATCAATCAAATGGACGTCTTCGTAGACCAGATTATGTTCCATTAGATACATTTTTAGAAGAAGTTTCATTTTTTGATTTAGGTCCACAAGCTGTTTCACAAATAGATAAATCAGAAAATGTTTCCATTATTAAGTATATTGATTTACCAAATTGGTTTTGGCGTCGTTATATTTGGTTTTATCTTGAACATCCTCAACATTCAATATTTGGTCGAATTCTTCATTTAATTTCAATGTTATTAACTATTGTATCTTGTATTACATTAGCTGTTGAAACCTTACCAAAATATAATGAAAAATATACTCATTTATGTGACAAACAAGAAAATACAACATCATCAAATAGTACTACATCATTATGTTTAGCAACATTACCTTCACCATTTTTTATAATTCAAACAATATGTGTATCATATTTTACAATTGAATTTATTTTACGTTTAATTAGTGCACCATCATATTATAGATTTATTCTATCAATATATAATTGGGTTGATTTAAGTTCTATTATACCTTATTTTATAATAACAGGTCTTGAATTACATCATCACGAACTAGAATTACGTGGAAGTTTGATAACTGCTTTACGTGTATTACGAATATTAAGATTTTTACGTTTAGTAAAAATTTATTTAATTTTTAGTCAATTGAAATCATTACGTGTTCTTAGTTCAACATTGAAAGAATCATTTGCAGATTTTATTATTATGATTATTATATTGACTTTATTAGCTTTTATGTTTGGAACTGCTACTTATTTTGCTGAAGAAAATCATAATGAGCAAGTTTTTGATTCGATTCCAAAAGCTACATATTGGGGAATAACAACTATTACGACAACTGGGTATGTTTTTTTATATTGATATTACATTAAAAAAAATATATAAATTTTATATGAGAAAAATATTGAGATGATCAAAACAGAATTTCTTTTTATTTGATATAACAACTAGCCATAGTTTCAAACTTCAACGTTTGAATTTGGTTTTGACTGCAGTCATTTTCAGTTAATTAATAAAAATAAGTAGAAGAAAGCCAAAAGAAAAGATTTCACGTTTGAATATAATAGATCTATACATAGTGGAATAACAGATTCAAACTCAAGCTTAATCGAAGTTTCTGGTACTTACACGACTGCTTATATATTTCAAACTCAAACACTGAGTCAGAGTTTAAATTTGGCGCTTGTCTAGACATAGCTACTAATGTTCTAGAAATTGACGAATATCTTCTCACAAGGAAAAGTTCTCAAGTGTTATCAATCATTTTCATTTAGGTATTGGTCATTTTATAGAACTCAGTTAATACAACATCTGATATTAAGAAGTTCGTCTCCATACTAGAATTTTAAGGAAACATGAGATACTATAACATTTGGCTCTTCGAAGGTGACCTGAATTTTAAAGGTATTATAATTCTAAGTAGTCGAGATTTCTCGATTGAATAAATAACGTTTGACTAAACAAATTCATGTGTCAGACTTAAATATACCGTTAAAGCATATCTTTATTTTGAATAGTTGAATATGATTAATTTTCGATTTATAGCTTCATTCTGTGTAAAATAAATTATCAAATAGATTGTGAAATAATTTTCGACAAAATATTTCTTGCACAAACAGTCATATTCAACTATCCAAAATAATGATATACTTTACCTTTGGATTTAAGTATAAAATATATGTATGCTCAGTTGAATATGATTTATTCAATCGAAAAATCTCATCAACGTGGAATTCTAATGTCCTTGAAATTCAGGGTTCTTACTTTGAGGCTCTTAATGATTTTTTAAAAGATACCCTAACTGATATCGACGTCAAAATATAAGACAGGTGGCTATTTTTTCAATAACTTTTTATAAAAACAAGATAGAGATCTGCGGTTCTCAGCACTAGAAAGAGAATTATTTTCTTCATAAGAATAATTCAAAATCTGATTGGTCATCGAGTGACCAATAGAACGAGCGCCGTCAAACATTTTGCAAACTGCCTCGAGAAACTATTTTCCATTGGATTTTAAATTTCAATGTGACTATTCGATAGGAAAAATTCTTCTCTTTCAATCTACGCCAGACTGAGTTTGCTAGCTCGTCTTGTTCAAGAGTTCTAAATATTTTCCTGAAATCCTCGAAATCTGTCAGGTAACCTTCAATCATCCTAAAATAGATCACAATATGGGTAATCGACCACACTGAGTCTAGTGGTGATATTTGTTTTTAGTTTCAAAGCAATCTGAAGTCAGTATATTAAGATTTC